AAATGTTAAAGGTGCATTAACCTATCAATCACCCGATGAATATTATGATCCTTGTTTTTTTTTTTTTTAAAATTATAAGCTGTATAAGGTCTTAAATACGCAAGTACTGTACATCCAGTCTTTCTTGAATAGATTCAGTCATTTTCAGACATGGAAATTATTTCTATGCCTGAAGATGACTGAATGTTCAGTCGAAAGTACTTGTGTATTTAAGAAAGACCTTATACAGCTTATAATTTAAAATAAACCTGTATAGACCGGTGTGCTTTCGTGGATGAGCAGTCAAAAAGCACGCCGGACCAGACAGTGGCTTCCCTTCCAATAGAAGGACGTATGTTTCAGCTCCACAGGAAGGTATATTTTCTTTCTCTTCCGACTACCGACACACAGTTTAGTCCGACATGTTAATGCCGTTGACCGGGGTGTGGCCGTCGCACATGCGATAATTCGGTTCCGCATCCCGATTCACCTGAGTAAAGCAGGGTCGACCGCTTTGCTACAACGGTATTACCACTGACGATACACCGGTAAAACCCACCTTATTATCATATTCATTTAGATTCCTTAAAATGCACCGAAATACTAAATATATGTTTATATGTTCAGCACCTGCAGTGTGTTCATAAGAGTTTGTTCGAAAAGCGACCTAAGCTCGTCAGTAGGAAAAATGTCGTTCTCTTCCATAGCAACATTAAACTGTAAATACCAAGAAGAAAATAGGAACAAAATTTGGGATTCGGCAAAACTAAACGATCCGCCATATTCAAATGACCTTGCACTAATCGATTGTCTTTTTTATTGCTGTGAAACGTTTTGACGGAGAAAACTTTCTTTAGAAAAAAACAGATTCCCAATGCTTCGGCCATTGTACGCTCCGACCTTATTCAGGTGACATACGTTGGAATTTCAAACCGAACCCTTTTTGTCAATTGATTGATGTTATATTCATCACACCGACTCAGTTTCATAGACGGACCTTTTTGTAATCGTATTGAAGAATACGATGTCGGGATATGAGAGAGCGCTGCACCTTGGAACTTTACGTGGAAACTCGTTACTGCTCTAGTGCAGACCCTCACGAATTACGGCAGATTGAATTTGACCCGCGAGACTACGCAATGCGGACTGCGAGACTATGTAGTGCGGTCCGTGAGCAGCTTACAGTTAATTTTTTTCTTATATTCATAAGAATAAGTTCTTAAAACACTTTTGATGTTCCTCTCATCACTTTACTTTAGCCCACTCTTCCATGCTTTTTTGAGGTATCTCGCTTTCTGTGGCCATGTATTGAACTCGAAACTCTTTTAGATTGCTCAACCAACGCTTTTGTCCACTGGGCCATGTGTTCATGTCTATCACCTGAAGACGGTAGAGCGTACAGCGGCCGAAACGTTGTAATTATGGCAATAAAGATGAGGACAATAGTTCGAACAATGTAAATAATTACAATATTTCATCTCAGAAATATAGACAGATGAAAAGAGTTTGTCGGAAACTGTTTTTTACGTCAAAACCTGCGAAAGTTTACTGAAATGTATCGAAGAGATGTTTGGTAAGTGTCAACAAGTCATTGAAAAATTATAGAGAATGTGTAACTAAAGATTTAAGAATAAAGTTGATAAGTAAAAACGGAAATTATTTAAGTCCAACGTAATAACGAAGAAAAGGTATGTGTGGAGAGCCATGATCGCTTAAGTCGTGAATGGATACGATATTTAAAAAAAATATTGTTGACAATTAGTAGTTACTAGAAATATCAGTGAAAATCTTACAGTTTTCTTGTTTGAATTTTCTGATGAATCTTAATTCTTAAGTTAATGGTTGAATAAGCTATTGTTAAATAATAGCTTAACAGTCTATTACTTTTAGAGGAAGTGTATCTCGGCTCCAACTTCCGGAGGTTGACAGCTGGGGCCAGATGTGATCCATAATAGGGAAGTTTATTTCGATTGGCTGAGATAGCGTGTTAAAGAGACAGGAGAAAGCGTTTCAGCGAATTGTTTCTTACCCGTCAAGCGATGTGTTCTGGTTCGTGTCTGGAACGACTTCTCAGTGGGTGGGGGCTTCTTCCACAGGATAGTTAGATAATTTATATGTCGGCATGATTAATAAAAATAGTTAAGTTAAAATTTTGTGTGTTGAAGTCTTTCATTGCCGAACCGAAACGATTAGCGATTGCCGGTCAATAGAAAAAACCGAGCTGAGATCATTCACTTATGTCAACACGCAACACTATGACAATAAAATATCCGTAGAAATTCCTTTATCGCATCGTTAAATATTTTAGCATAACAGAATATTGCAATAGCAGTCATAAATATGAAAGCTGGTTATTATTTAATGTAGTAAGGGGGTACGAATAAAAGATTGGAAATTGAGAACTTTTTAGATTTCACTGAAACAGACGATAAACGCATTAGAGTGTTATCACCTCTTCTTTCTTTCTTTCTTTCTTTCTTTCTTTCTTTCTTTCTCTAACTGAAACCAAGTAGCTTCTCTGATATGTCTTTTCCGTCTTTCTGCATGATCAAAACGGAAGAGTCTATTATTTATGAGGTATTGGCAAGGCACCAACGGAATAGTCTATTATACTTGAGGGTTTGGCAGGACGTAATGCACGTGCTCAAATTAGGGGAGGGGTAAAGAGAATTGTAATAAGACAGTAATTACCCTCTAATGGAACAGTTTTGAAATTCATTTATATTAATTCAAGAAATGCTTATTTAAAAAAAATTATTTGCTTTTCAGAACATTATTTCTTTTCCGGTGTGACGTCAGTCTAGTCGCTGTACGCGTTTATTAAAATATAATAAGATGTAAACATTCAAATTTGAATTCAGAGCCACACTGCATTTTATTTCCCTTGGGAAATTAAATCCTGTGCGTGAATTTTATGATATTACGTATTTGGTTTTCCACAGCAGAAATAGTAAACATTCTAATCGATTGTAAACGACGAAATAAAATCTATTTGTTGAAATAAGTCAGTTTTATCAAAGTGTCAAGTTTTAAGGATTTAGATTTTTTTTTAATCATTTCACCTCCAGCAAGGCAATAAAGCTACTACGACGCAATGTGGTTACTGAGAGTAAGAGAATACGAGAAAAACAAACATTATTAATGAGAGAGGACAATAAAAGAAAAAGAATCAAGAAAACAGAAGATAACGATTGACATTGCATTTAAATTTTTGAAGATCAAATTTGACTGGAAAACAAGACGAAAGAGTGTTCCACAAGCGTGAAGTGCGAGAGAACTTGCTACGTGGGGGGGGATGCAACAGTCGCACTTATAGACAGGTGTGCGTGAAGTAGAGGGTCATTGTATAAACTTAAAAACATTAGGAATTTTCTAAATAGATAAACGGCAAATTCTGTCTGTCCGTGTCTCTGTATGTCTGAAACCCCTCTAACTCGAGCCACACTCGCTCTACATAAACATATTGTACCTTTTTTGGAATCAGGATGAATCCGTGATTGTAAATATGACCTTCGTCTGGTGCATGAACATCCAGTATTGAGTTTTATGCCCGGATGAGGTAGAAAGACTTAAAAATTCAAATTTTAAAACAACTGAAAAAAATTAGTGATTTTAAAATCTTTTTTTTTTTTAAATTATATTGACTTTAAAGTAACATAAAATTTTTTTTAATTTAAATTTTTTTGTTTTAAATTCAGTTTAAAATATTTCCAAAACTGTATGAATTGAAGAAATCAATTTTTTATTTTTGTCAAAATGCCAAGGAATCAGGGTTAAAGTGAAAGGTTTTGTGACGTAAGGTTTTGAAGAACTTAAAACAATTGAAGTTCCATGGAGTTTGTGATTTAAATTGGAATTTCGGCCTAACTCGGTCTTTTGGTTGGAACTGGACTTATAGATCGAATCAGAGCTATTGGCCTGAAGGGGAAGGGTTGATAGATCCTAACGCTAGAGTGACAGTGGTCGTGGCGACTAGGCATGTTTTTGTCATATATACGCGTATGGGCGCCGCACATTAAATGGGTGGGTAAATACTGAGAAATGGCTGATTTAGGAATAAAGGAGGAAGAAGAAGAAGAAAGAGATATGGAAAAAGGGAATAAAAGAAGAAGGAGAGAGGCAAAGAAAAGTGGCAGGTGAAGAGAAAGAGAAAGAGAAAATCGGATAATAAAGGAAGAAAGTGAAAAGAATAACAGAGAGAAATTGAGAGAAGAAAAATGAATGATGAAGTTGTGATTTATTAAAATTACCTTAGTCTTAGCACAATTATGAAGCATTCAACGAGTCTGTCGACCAGATTAGCTCGTAAACCAATACTTTACACCGAAGCGCACGTTATTATTTTATAATCATTTCCCCCCAAGCAAGAAAACAAAGCCACTTATACGTAGGGGGTTACTGAGTGTGAAAGAATATATGAAAAAAAAAAAAAACTGTATTAAGTAGCGAGACATTAAAAGATGAAGAAGGCAGACGAATTACATTTAAATTTTTGGAAATCAAACTTGATTGGAAAGCAAGAAGTCTGAAGAGAGTTTCACAAATGTCAAGTGAGGTTTTGACGTTCCATGGAGTGAATTGTGGAATTCAAAATTGCTTCTTCAAAATTATCATTGCTGTTTTCTAAGATGGCGCAGAGGTCTCTTTAGTTTTGGTACAATGGCTCAAATTAGCCCTTCGCAGGAGCTAGCTTAAAAGTTCCCGCGGACTGCGGCTTTTAAGCTAGTTATATTATAAAGAGTGTATCAAAATGAAAATAGTTTTGATAATCATAAACTAACAGGTCGATGGACTGAGAATGTGAGAGCGAGAGTGGTGGGAAAGAAAAGGGAGACTACAGAACAAAGTCAAAAATAATATTAGAAAATAAGTCACCGTTTTTGATTTCAGAGATTTTTTCTCTATTTTTAATTTTTCCAAATCTTTCTCTTTGTTTTCTTTTTCCATTTCCGACCCCACTTTTTACATCACTCTTCCCGTTGTATTGTTTTTCTTTTCTTTTCCTCTTTTTCTTTTTAAAGATTTCTTACTCGTTCCTTCTATCCTTTCATGTCTTATTTGGCTATTTACGACATGTTTTTTTACCAAACTTACAATCCTGTTCACTTTCTTTTTTCCTTTCTTTCTTTTTCTCAGGCCTTTCGCCGGAGAGTAAAGGTGAAAAGCTAGTTATACATTCATTCCTTGTTTGTTTGCTTCATTCTTTTCATGCTTTTTGGGGTGGAGTAATGGTGAACAAGCTAATTGTATTTTCTTTCTTTTTTCTTTATTTTTCATATCTTTCTTTCTTTCGTAATATCTTTCTTTCTTTAATTCGTAATATATTTCATTCTTTCTTTCGTAATATTTTTCTTTCTTTAATTCGTAATATATTTCATTCTTTCTTTTGTAATATCTTTCTTTCTTTAATTTGTAATATATTTCATTCTCTCTTTTGTAATACTTTTATTCTTTCTTTCGTAATATATTTATTTTTCAAGCCTTTATCTTGCAGTAATAGTTAAAAGAGTCAGTTATTTCTTTTTTTCGTTCGTCTGTTCGTCCACCATGTTTCTTTTTCGGTCCCTTATTGTGTCGTAATGGTCAAAGAGCTAGTCATATTTTTTTTTAATCATTTCACCCCAAACATGGCGTCAACATCACCAAGGGGCTACTGGGAGTGAAGGAGAATGAGAAGACTTTACGAGAAGGAATCGGAAACCCAACCCTATGCAGGAAACAAGAGATAAACCTCTACTCCTGTATGGGTATCTTTATTTATTTGTGCTCAATTATATATATTTATTTTCAACCGCTTCGCCGTGGAGTAATGTTGAACGAGCTCTTTCTTTCTTTCTTTCTTTCTTTCTTTCTTTCTTTCTTCTTCCCATTTAAAGAAATCAGGATAATCGTCTTATCCGAGATGCCAAGTGCTAGATGTCAAGGAATTCTTTAAGTGCCGCGCTTACAGTGAGAAGCACAGACCTAAAGACAGATCGATACGATATCAATAAAATCAAGTCACTCGACTCTCAGTAATGCCATGATTATAAAATTGGAGTGGAACTTTTCGCTTTTGATCGCAGTCTTTCGATCGGACGATCAATCGTAATCACAATTATACTTATCAAACTGTCTGGTTTATTAAACAAAGCGCCTTTTGAGTGAAAGTTATTTAAAGAAAGGGGAACTATGAGCGGGAAACACGAAGAAAATGACAATAAAAAAGAGATAAGCAAAAAGAAAGAAAAGAGAAAAAAGGGTATAGAGAGCAGGGAGGAAAGAAAGAACGTAAGAAAGAAAGAAAGAAAGAAAGAAAGAAAGAAACATATGACTAGGTGTTTCATCATTACTCTACAAGAGGCGGAAAAGAATTACATGAAAAAGAAAGAAAGAAAGAAAGAAAGAAAATTATGATTAGCTCTTTCATCATTACTCCACGACAAGGATGGGAGGCTGTAAAGAAATATATAAGAAAGAATTAAAGAAAGATATGAACAGGTCTTTCACCATTGCTAAACAAGAGGAGAGAAAGAAATACATGGAAAAGAAAGAAAAAAAAAAGAAGATATAATTCGCTTGTTCAATTTACCCATTCCTATGCCCTCGTGGTAGCATCAAAGTGAGGTATCTGTTCTTCGCTTCTCGTCGGTGTTTCTGTCTTTATAGATAGTTAAGGGAAAGATCTTTCAGTGATGCTTGATCCCAAGGATCAGAACCTATAGCAACACTGTTCTCATTGTATTGATAGGGTCGCTGGAATGTCGACAACGGGCAATTTTAGATTTTCCGACGGCAACCAAACGTTAAAAACTACGTTGTGCCTCATCTTGCCATCCAGGGAAGGCGAGTAAATAGCTCAAAGAATACTATATGTTATGAAGGATGCCTGGTCACTTGGATTCCAACCCTGAGGCGGCACCTCCCTCATTGCACTTGTGTCACATCTCGCAACTGTGAGAGTCGAGTAAATAGCTCAAAGAGTACTATATGTTATGAGGGATGCCTGGTCACTTGGATTCCAACCCTGATGCGGCACATCCCTCATTGCACTTGTGTCACATCTCGCAACTGTGAGAGGCGAGTAAATAGCTCAAAGAGTACTATATGTTATGACGGATGCCTAGTCACTGGGATTCTTACTTTTGCTATCATACTGAAGGGAAAGGGTTGATAGATCCGAACGCTAGGGTGACAGGTTTTTTGGTTGGAACTGGACTTATAGATCGAATCAGAGCTATTGGGCTGAAGGGGAAGGGTTGAACGATCCTAACGCTAGAGTGACAGTGGTCGTGGCGACTAGGCATGTTTTTGTCATATATACGCGTATGGGCGCCGCACATTAAATGGGTGGGTAAATACTGAGAAATGGCTGATTTAGGAATAAAGGAGGAAGAAGAAGAAGAAAGAGATATGGAAAAAGGGAATAAAAAAGGAAGGACAGAGGCAAAGAAAAGTGGCAGGTGAAGAGAAAGAGAAAGAGAAATTTCGGATAATAAAGGAAGAAAGTGAAAAGAATAACAGAGAGAAATGGAGAGAATAAAAATGAATGATCAAACACAAGGGAAATTGTGATTTATTAAAATTAGCTTAGTCTTGGCACAATTAGGAGGCATTGAACGAGTCAGCCAGACTAGCCCGTAAACCATTACCTTACACCAAAGCCCACGTTATTATTTTTTAATCATTTCACCCCAAGCAAGGCATCAATACGCAGGTGGTTACTGAGTGTGAAAGAATATAAGAAAAAAACTGTATTAAGTAGCGAGACATTAAAAGATTAAGAAGGCAGACGATAAAGAATTACATTTAAATCTCTAAAAATCAAACTTGATTGGAAAGCAAGAAGCCGGGAGAGAGTTCCACAGACGAGAGGTGCGAGAGAAGAAACTGTTAGCATAGAACTTACGGTTGCATCTGGTCAATTCAGCTGTAAAATGATGAGAGCTAACCGCTAATCTAGTACTGCGATTAAATGCATAGAATCCAGGTACCGTAGAAGAAAGTTCAGTAGAACAATTACTATGAAAGCATTTATAGAAGAGACAGACTATGGCGGTGGGAGAGTGACTGAAGCCGAGATGCCAGATTAGCACCAAAGACACTTTTCTTTGGATTTTATCAAGGATCTCTAAATATAGTGATTTTCCAAGCGTAGCTTAGATGTGGCACAAGGCCGAATGTATGGGGCATCTAGTGAGGATCGAACTCACTTTTCAGTCGTAACTGATCCAGCAAGACAAGCTTGCTAAGCATTACACCACGCCGAGGGGCCCAAAGTATCTCTAAATATATAACAGGAGTACATAGTTTTATCACAAGGACGCAAGGATGAGGAACCCAGTGAGAATCGAACTCACTACTCAGTAGTAATGATCTACCAGACAAACTCGCGAACATTTATCTTACTCTAAGTTGCCTAATATCTAATAACATCCGTTTGCCACAAAGCCACAAATATGGGTCACCCAGTGAGAATCGAACTCACTTTATGTAACGGTCAACCAAATTAGTTCATGAAATCTTATCCTACGTCAAACCGCCCAAAATTTACTGAGCTTATAAGACCACAAGTATGTGACACTCAGTGAGAATCCAACTCACTGCACAGTAATAACGGGCAACTGAAGTAGATATCTAATCATTAGCACAGAGTGCGGAGCCCGATGAACGTGGTTAGTTATTTGCTTAATTTTGCTTGATCTGGTACAGAGCAACTACGGTGAAACACCCAGTAAGGATCGAAATCACTACGGAAGCAAA